CTAGCAGGCTGGGTGCTGTCCCACCTTGGAGCCAGCACCCAGCTCACTAGCACCCCACCTAGGAGGGCCCTGGAGGTGCCACCACCTATGGAGGGAAGGACCAGGGCCCCCTGCAGCTCAGGGGCCACTGGCAGCTCAGTCTTTGGCTGTGGGCAGGCTCCACCGGGGCGAGGGGGGAGCGGTGAGGGGCCCAATACTTTCTTTTCATTCTGGCAGAGTCTGCCTGTGGCTGGGGGGTGAGCTGCTGGTGGCATCTGAGCTGCAGGAGCCCCCGGTTCTTCCCTCTGTGGTCGTGGTGGCCCCTGAGGCTGCCTGGGTGGGGTGCTAGCAAGCTGGGTGCTGGCTTCGAGCAGCTCAGGGCCCATTGGCAGCTCGCCCCCAGGTTGTGGGCTAATCTAAAACATTTGAAGCCTTTCTTTTCATGACAATTTGGTATTTCATTTTTCCTTTGAATTAAAGGTGATGATTTTGAGAGCCCATGTATACTAATTTGCATTTCAAACCTAAAATCTTCTTCTGACAAGAAGCCAAAGAGCTGTATCTTCTCACTGTGGTTTGATTTTTCATTCACTTAATATATGAAAAAAAATACACCAACATTGGCAACCTGATCTTGGTAATATTGATTTTAGTCCATTTATTTTCTATATGGCTATTTTCAGCTATGGCTAAGTCAATCACAGCAGATCTGACTTGTAGTACCTGCAGTCACTGTCTCTGGGGATTTTGTTCTTTTCTCCCAGCCACAGTTAAAGCCTTTTGAATTCTTAAAACAAAGTCACAAGACCTTTCTTTGGTTTCCTTCAGAAAATTGTCCAGTAAGGATACAGCATTTCACATCATCTATACTCCCTTACATTATCCATAAAGGATCATCGTCATTTGTGAGTTAGGTTGTGTCAGGATCCAGCCTGAGTTGGTAAGCATTTCTGGTTGTAGTTTTTGCTCAGATAACCTCTCAATGTGTTTCTCAGCTGTCTGAAACTAAGGAGTTTGCCTGCTTAAAATATGTTGAAATCAATCCACTTTGGCTTTTCTCTAGATTTTTCACAGCATCACAAATTGCATTTGGAAATGGATTCTGTTCAGTTGAGTTCCTAATTGCATTTCCATCTGGAGTCCACACTCCAATACTGGGACAAACACCCTTGACTGAAGAAAGCGTTGCAATATTGACTCTCCGTATGTGCTGGAAATCTACCCAAGACGTAAGCTCCAGTTGTCCTGTTTGAATCTCTTGCAATCTTATAAGAATCTCTCCTGTTTCGCACATATTCAGAATGGTCATTCAGGCAGCATTTCTATTTAGCCCTAAGTTAGATAAAATATTTAGTGTACCTACAGGATTTCATTGTCTGATCTCACAATGCTTTACAAAGGTGAGTAAATGCAGTTAGCCCAGTATCACAGCGGGTGGTGTGTGATACGCTGGCAGGGCGTTGCCACGCGTTGTACTTAGAGCTTGTGTTACTCAGGTCATAGTAAGCATTGCTACAAATTAGAAAGTTCTCTGACCAGTTGCATGGTGTTGCTTACAGGCAAGCCCTGCTTAGCACTGTCAATTGGCTTTGGAAAAACCGAGCGTTAAGCGAAACTGATGACGCATAATGGTGATCACAAGTGTTTTTAACGACCCAAGATGGCAGCCATGAGTGTTGCAGTGAAACTTGCTGAGTGCTAAGTGAAATCAGGTATCCGTTTAAAATGAGCGTGATAGCAAAATAGCCCTAAGCGAAACAGCATTAAGCAGGGGTTGCCTGTACTATGATCTCAGCCCTCTGGTCAGGGCTGGATCTCAGGCTTCTGGACAGGGCTGTAGCAGTAGACAAACAGCTGATTAGTGGTCCTTTCTCCCCCACCGCATTGGAGTCTCGAACCAACTGGTGAGGACTGCATCAGTCATCAAACCTACATCTCCTGACTTGGACAGGTGCTTTCTCTTACAGACTAGTGACTTCCTTTAATATACACGTTGCAGCAGATATAATCTGCAAGGTAGTGACAGGAAAGGCCTCAGACTTGCCATCAAATCCATGCAGGCCAGACATCTGCAAGAGAAGAAAGGCCCACTGTTAGGTACGTCATTCCTCATTTCTGGAATTTGCATGTACGGCGTGGGAGCAGGTGGGTAAGGTATTTTTCATGGGGGCAGACACAGCAGGGTGGTGGTGGTGTACTTGCCTGCAGTCCTTTAGGAAGTCTAAGGCACTGAACCCGGTTCTCCCAAGTCCCAGGCAAGCACCTTAACCACTGGGCATCGTCTCTCTTTCTGGAAGAGCACCTGCTTAAATCACAAGCTATGCCTGACCCCAGATACCGGAAGGCTTTTCATGGTGCTGGTAGCAGCATTGCTGCATTACTACCACCGTACATCAGAGTATCCTGATACCACAGCTTTAGAATAGGTTGCAGCTTTTCTCATATTTCTGTATGTTGTTGTCCTTTTTGCTTTTGGGCTGGTTCCCCACCCAGTGGCGTTCCAGATCTGGAGTGATTTTGGAGTGAGCAATTTTAAGCTTGTGTTATAAGACTTTGGGTGTTGATTGATTTGGTGGTGTTCCTGTGAGAGGCTAAAAAGGAGACATGATTGCCCTGTGGGCTGCCCAGGAGGTGGCTTTTTCACTTTGCATATTTGTTTTGCATTTTAATACCAGTGGGTTTTCAACTGGAAGTGTAACAGCTGGATGTCATGGGGACTTGAAGGAAGGAACTTAAAGGCTCAGAACTTGAGCAGAAACACTGTTCTCCCTCACTTGAAGCTATAGAAAAATTGTGCACTGGTGCAGAGCGAGATGCACAACATACACGGAGCAGTGGGTCATGGAAACAATGAAATGCTGATGCTCTGTACTGCTGAGTGGTGTCAGAAGATGGTCTTTGCAGTGGAAGCTCTGCAAAAAGAAACCTACCCTTCAAAGCGTGGGCACACGTAGCATATACTTCTGTCACTGCATCTTGTCACTGTACTTTAAACAGAAGATTAAAATAAGTCAGAGCAAATGGATTATAAGGGTGAGCATGTGGGAGGGAGGGGGAATGAAGTACTTGTTTTAGGGTTTTTTAATGGCTGCTGCGTATAGGGCAGTTCTGGCGGTTATGCTTTGTTCGGTGAGATCCAGCTCAGAAAGAAAAGCTGCATCTGGCCAGCAGGTGCACTGCAGGAGTGACCTGGTGTATGAGTGACCCCTGGTAACCTCCGCCATTTGCCAAGGTAAAGTTTGGCCACGTTCTCATGCACACCTGCCACAATCATACCAACACATTGCTTTCCAAATGGTCTTCGAATGAAGCTGCGCTTCAGTGGAAAACATCTTAAGCTTGCCTAACAAAAAGAGAAAATCTCTGCTCAGAAGTTTTAATGCATGAAAAGTTAATGTAAAATAAAGGCAGCTGAAAGCTTGGAAGGCTTAATGCTGTGCTCTCCAGTTAGCCTGCTTCTAAGCTGCAAGGGTTGGCAGAAGAGTGTCATCCCTCAGAAAGATAACGAAGGACACAGCTGTAGCAGGATCCAGCCAGTGGTGGTGGGGTGTTCCTGGAGGTACCATGAGCAGTGGTAGAACCAGGTAAAAGCAAGAGAGACTGTTCCCATTCTCCAACAAAAAGTTCCATGTTGGGGGTTTCATCACATCTGAACAAAAATTTCCAGATCCTTCAACTGGCTAGATGGCTATGGAGTAAGCAAGGGCTGGGGGAGGTCTCTTCAGGGCCACTCGGGACCTCTGCAGCACAGCCGGCTCACTGCACGCCCAGCCCAAGATGCCAGAGGAGCGGCATCGCCCCAGGATGGCTTCACTGCTGGGTTTCCTGGATTAATGCGTCTGAATAGGAGCAGCTGGGCAGAGTGTGTTTATGAGTGGCCCATCCTGGCAGTGCTGGGGACATGGTGTAGCCATACCTTGGATGTCTCCCTAACTTCTTCTACAGCTGGAGAGCATTGGTGACACGTAGGGAGATTGCCCGTGCACCCCGTGGAAAACCAGTGGTGATTTTGGGTTCAGCACTTGGCCTCTGGGAGACCTCCCCCTGGTTGGTGATCAGCCACTGGGCCGCCCCGTTGGCAATCTAGTGGCCCCACAGACTCAGGAAGCACCAGTCACCCCTGCTGAGAGAGGTAGTTAGCTGTGTGAGTCTGAAGTTAGGCCAAAGGCACAACGGGGTGGTGCCTTATAGGGATCTACCTAAATCGTGCTGGAAATGCCCTGCTCAGTTGCTCCTTTAATCTTGCTCTTTTTGCCATGTGCATCCCTGCCACTGTTTGGCCAAGGGACCCCAGTATCCCCACTGCTTACTCCTGATCGGCCAGAAGGCAAAAACTGAGGTTTTAAGTATGCCACAGTTTTTTCCTCTCACAGGTTTTCCATACAACGAAGGGGCTCTGGTGGCCCCACTGCTTGCTGCTGATCAGCCAGGAGGCAAAAATGCTGCATACTTAAAACCATCATTTTTGCTGCCCAGCCGATCAGAAGCAAGGAGCAAATGGTGGGCGCCAGTGTCCTTCGGTCAATCAGCAGCAGGGGGTGCGTGCGGCAAAAGGAGCAAGATAAAAGGATCCACTGCGCAGCACGCTTCCACCATGATTTAGGTAAATCCCTAATTACAGACTTAGTTAGTCTATAAGCAAGTTAGTCTATGAGATGCCACACTGCCCCGACTTCTTCCTCTGTAGCTTTCACAGACACCCTATGACATCTAATTGTAACCGGAAATAAAAGCAAAGCGATTACAAAAACAGCTGAATGCTCCCTTTTGCTCATACTTTGCAAGTGAGATCATTTTCTCAATGTTGCCATCCTCTTGTGTTTATCCTATTCCCATCAAATAAACCTTTCAGCTGTGGTCCTTATCTGTAGCATATAAAACTTGCCTCTATGCTTCTCTCTGCCTCAGCCTTATTATGTAGCTGTGTGGGAAACCTGTGAGTGCTGGTGGATCCAGTATCTGCTAACAGGACCTTGTTGAAAAGAATATGCAGGCTTTCTGCATAATCATCTGGTTACTTACCAACCCTGCTTTGTATTACTGCAGCTAAGCTCTCTGTGGTTGCAGGGCTGAAGTGGATACATATGCACAGGAATTGCAGCATTCGCATCAATCACGTAACCTGGGAATACCTCCAGTTCTTTCCCACGCAATAACAATGTCACCCGCAGTCGGTGCCCATGCCAGCTCTACGTGGGGATGATGTGTTGTTCTGAACCCTCGGTGTATGTAAAGGTTTCCTGGCTGAGTCACCAGATCGAATTCCCTCTGTCACTTTTTACACACTTATTTGTCTTCCAACAGCTCCAGTTGTTCTGAAAGAGTAAGCTGTATAGAAAATGCCGAGGGCTGTGTCTGAGCCACTCACTTCTGAGTTGTGTGACCAATGCAAATTGAACTCAAATCTCCCCGACGATTCCCCCAGGATGGAGAGAATTGGGGATGGAGCGGCAGAATGTAGTTAGGTCATGTTTTGGGCCTCTTCCACCACCCACTTTTGTTTGCACTGCCTGCCACAAAGCGGTGAGTCAGGAAAAGGATGCAGTGGGTTGGTCATGGGAGAATTGCATCAGGCATATTAGAGAAAAGGGTGTTGATGTGGTAAAACAAGCCTTTGCTATGTCTAGTTCTCTGGTGGTGTCATGCCCATGGATGCTGTATTAGTGGTGTAAACCAAGGTTAAAGCTTTCCACTGCAGCCTGAACATGTACCCGAGCCAGGCCGAGCAGTCACAGCTGTCTGGCTGTCTTGTAGTCCCTGACCCACCACACCACACGTAAGTGCAGTGAAGAAATCAGCCAGTTTGGGATGTCCAGTTTAACATGGAACTTTTGCACTCTCGAACTTGGAAGCAGGTCAGCCTTTTTCTTTCAAAATGGACCTGGTGGCGGGTGCCTCTTATACAACTGGAAATCCAGATGCTACTGCTTGTCAACAATGCAATATCCACCTGGATTTTCATGGTGAGAAGGTCATTTTCCTGCACATCTGAATCGCGTATTCTGCTGTTGTTCATGCTGCATAACCGGCACGCCCACGCTTTGAATTTTTGTGGCCTACAGATCT